CCATTTGAATACACAGCTGAGACTACTCATTCTCTTTCTATGAAGACATGCCCTTCTGAATATCTATCCCATGAAGTTGTAAAAGTAGTTGTCCTAGTTAGGCTTAAAAAAGCAGGGACAGCTAATAAGAAAGTAAAACTCTTCCCAACAGATTACTTTGGCTGCAAATATCTTCTCTCAATGTTAGCCTCCACGGCAATCATAACGTTGGTAATGAGATGCAGAAGAACTCATCAGCATATAGAAATCTCAATATTTGAAAGACAATACTACTATTAGCACTTTCAAGGAAGAGAAAAATAACTGCTACACTATCCTGGAATGTCATTCATCGCTAAGAAAGTACTGGCAGGATTTCTTCTGGGCTCCTTTATTGAGCAATATTCGTTAGCCATGTGTTCCTGGAATCATAGTACAGAATAGTTTTCCATTGCAAAGCAGTACTAGAGCGGATTATCTGCAGATATCAGAAGAAAATCCTTTTCAATAACTCTAATTATAATTTGTTGATTCTACCAAAACATCTGATATATATATCAGTTATATAACATGACAAACAGTACTGAGTATCTGGACACAGGTATGTTTATCAACATCAAAGGTAACTACTAAGGAAATAAGTAATATAGTTTTCTCATGTTTCAGAATTCAAAGTCCTATCTAACACACTCCTCATAAGTGAAAATGCTGCAAACAACCAGTTTTATCAAATAGTTGCATTAAAAGAAAGGCCAAATATATACACATAAAATTCAATCCAAGCAATCATCAAAAATCCTAGACAGTTATCCAAAAATACTACACTAGAAACACATTCATGACACCTCAGACAATGGCTTGGACTTTGATTAAATGAGGCCCAAGGATATAACTAAAATCATAAATTAATGTAAAATGATCATATACAGCTCAAGATTTTCATTCATAATATAGCTATTACTTTTCTTTCCTAATTCATAACACATTGCTAAGTGACGAGCTGTCCCAGAGAACAGTATTCCTACATTTTTCTGACAAACAAGGTGTAAGAAATTGGTTCATTTGGGCCTATATATACTTAGCCAGGTCAAGAGACAACAAGGCACCACATTTTTCCTACAGTTACAAAAACTATTTTCTAGGCTCAAAACAACTTTACACTGAGCTTCTTCCTAAAATTCACAGATATAAGGTAGAAGCCACACCCTATGCCAAATCATTCGTAAGATCCTTGAATTCAGTCATTCAAAAATGAAATTATACTATAAAAATTCACATTATACAAGATTTGACACACTAAAGGTAATATTAACCCTTCCCCTGCTTTAGAACTCCCATGCACTTAGTATGTATCCCTATTTTATCATTCATAAAACCATTTAATAGGTGATTTCCCCCATAATACTGTGAACTTAAATATTAAGAACCAGATACGTCCTGTTTATCTTTGTTATTCTCATTGCCTAGAAATGCTCTGGTCATAATAGTTTTTCATGGAACACTGAATAAGAACAGAATACCAAAAAGACACTTATATAGAAAACTGAAGTAGACAAATAAAAAAATCAGGTAAATAGAAGGTAAATTTTAAGAACACACAAAATTAGAATCAAGCAAAAAGGCAGTATCCATATCAGGAAGAAAGCACTGGTCTGGAGGTGCTGGAATGTCTTTGGAATTGATAAATTCTAATCTAGATTTTGGCAGTAACAAATGTTATAACCTAAGCAACTCACTCCGACTCCCTGGATCTCAATTTCCTCATTTGTAAAATATAAGACTAAATGAGTTCTATATTTCCTCAGATGACATAAGGATGATTTTAAAGAAGCAAGAACATTTACTCCTGACAAACAGCACCAACAGAACAGATATAATATACAATGTTGGATGACATGACTCTTAAGCAAAGGATATCATACAGGTGGAATATACAACTCGATAACAAGTAACAGGTCATACTAACAGCAGCCACAAGCCAACCAAGATTAAGTACACACATCTCTAATGTGGAAATTAATGACACATTCACACACTGAATAAATCTAAAAAAGAATCAAGTTCTGCCAGAGGCAAAGGTTGAGAGATGTGAAAAGACAGAGATACAAAGGCAAAATTGTTATTCCCTAGTAGGAACCAGAATACAGATTACATCTAGCATTCATGCACATGCACAATACACACACACAAGAACAATATAAAAAGCATCTTTATGCTTTTCTATGAATTGAAAAGCTCCTTAACACAAATCACATAATTATTTAGGCTACACTATTTCACAACATCTCACAACATTTAGCAAAAATTAATCTAGGATAACTTTCTCTTTGCTCCAACAAGACAGTCTTGTTGGTACATTAAGAAAACGTGCAGGGGATCAAAGACATTCCTAACCTCAATGGCCTATGTTCCTTCCAACTTCAAAATAATTTACTTTTGCTTTGAAACAAATGCACCTTCCACCTCAGATAATAAGTTGCAATGGTAATCAGTTTGGAACTTGATGACTACCAGATTCAATACACCAATGTTTATAATCAATACTTTTTAAAAATATAGGCTCTGTTGTCGATACTATGCTAGAATTGTAAAAGATAAAAGAGAACTAAAAGGTATGATCTCTGCCCACAGAAAAATCTTTCTAACCTTACTAGCAAGGTAGTTTCAGGTTATTATAAACACATTGCCCTATTTTTTCAAAATCCTTCCCAAGGAAGACATAGGAAGAAAGGTGAGCAATTCCAATACACATGTATATTTCCAGATATTTTTAAGCTAGAAGAGGTCCCCACAAAACAAATTTTACAAACAAAACAGATCCAAACATATGGAAACAAAATACATGCCCCCTAAAGGGCATTTCTACAAAGGCAGTAGACAGTACCTCAAATTGATCACCTCACACATAATACTTTACAACAGAAAACAGAAATGACTTCTCAATCAAAATCATTAAGGATAAAACAAACATTCAAAAGACTTCTAATTTATTAATATGTAAAGTTGAATGAAATGGTTAACTATTATGGGTCCTATTAAGAAGAAAAATTAATTTAAGAGCTTCAAATTTAAAATGACTTTCTTTTTTTTTTTTTTGAGACGGAGTCTCACTCTGTTGCCCAGGCTGGAGTGCAGTGGCACAATCTCAGTTCACTGCAACCTGTGCCTCCCAGGTTCAAGTGATTCTCCTGCCTTAGCCTGCTGAGTAGATGGGATTACAGGCGCGCGCCACCATACTCAGCTAATTTTTTTGTATTTTTGGTAGAGACGGGGTTTCACCATGTTGGTCAGGCTGGACTCGAACTCCTGACCTCATGATCTGCCCACCTCAGCCTCCCAAAGTGCTGGGATTAGAGGCGTGAGCCACCACGCCCAGCTAAAATGACATTTTTACATTTTTATTGCTTGCTTTTTATATAATCCACATCTACCTGTTTCTGAAAGCAGCAGGACCATAATTAGCTGTACATGTCAACTAATCTAAGAAATCCCAAAAACCCATCAAGTTCAGCTATGGAGCATTCCAAGGCCACTAATTATATATAGACTATAAATTATTTAATCATGGATTATAATCTACCTAAATATTTCAGCTCTATCTCCATGAATTACATCCTAAATTAACTTTAATATCAACTGTTCAAATAAAACAATTTTAGCTCTTTTCCCCCAAATAAGAGCAGAGAAATACGTTTCTTTAGTGGTTCCAATGGCTCATGAAAGAACAATACTATGTACTTTTCTTTACAGCCTACTAAGTACTTTCATATACATTATTTGAGACTTCAAATAACCCATAACCCTAGGAAGTAAGGCAAATGTTATTCTCTTTATTTCATGGAGAAGGATAGAGGTTAGGAAGTTAGGTCACTGGTACAAAGTTTACTGCTAGAAAGTAGTTAAACAAAGACTAGGACCCACATGCCCTGACTCCATGTCCAATTTATATTTCACAATGTCACACAAATAAAATAATTCTAAAAGCTACTGAACTTAAAATGTATAGTTTTCCTGCGTAATTAAACCCTTATAAGTATCATGGGAATTAAGATACTAAAGCACATGCAAACCATAAAGTGCCATCGAAACAATCACCTTTATCAGCCCATGTTAAAGAGCAGTTCAAATACTATAGTAAAAACACCTTAAAATTAAAAAAATCTATTATATTCATTATACCACACCACACACAACTCTGCATAACGAATGTTGGTGCAGAATAGATAAGGTTAGCTATAAATTTTTTATACAGCTGGGTGCAGTGGCTCATGCCTGTAATCCCAACACTTTGAGAGGTCGACGCGGGTGGATCTTGAGGTCAGGAGTTCGAGACCAGCCAGGCCAACATGGCAAGGCCCCATCTCTACTAAAAATACAAAAATTAGCCGGACATGGTGGCTCATGCCTGTAATCCCAGTTACGCACAAGAATCGCTTGAACTCGGGAAGTGGAGGCTGCAGTGAGCCGAGATTGTGCCATTGTACTCTAGCCGGGGCAACAGAGTGAGACTCTGTCTCAAAAAAAAAAATTTTTTTTTAATAATACATTTGACTTAGAGAAAACAAAAATGTCCAAAAACCTTACTTTTCCTAGTCTTAACACCTATTCTCGGCTTTGCTATACTCTAGCCAAGGAGTTTCCACAGTCGTTGGACTGCCAACGACAATCCACTGAAATATAGGGAGAAATTATTAGAATGCTGTTACCCTTTTTTTAAATCTGAAAAAACAAAGGAATTCATTTTACTATTTATGATACAGACTGACACTGTCACCCTCACATAACTCATAAATACACATGCAAACGGGGTGTGGGTACGCTCAAACATTTATCATAGAAGAGATTCTTATTCAAGAAAATAGGAACACTGCTACAAACAAAGATGGGCCATAGGAGACAGATGACTCTAAACTGCATCAAATAATCAACAAGAGAACCTATTAAAGGTGTTCAATATCCTACACAAATAAAGGATTGTTCAACTGCATTTGCGTAATCCATGTAACATAAGCACAACTTACCTCATCCTGGACTCCACTGGTGGTAGTCAACTTGCTCCCATCAGTAATTGTGATAATTATTGCTGGCTCCAAGAAAAAAGGGTTTCTTCCCTAAAGTCAAAAAACACATTGATCATACAAAGGTTTAGACTTTGGCTTAAAAAGTAAAAAGTCAATTCTCAGAACAGCATATATACGATCTCCCTTTCTAGTTTCATTTTACATGTGGTATATACCTGTTTGTACGTTTTAAGAAAAGATATAGAAGGACACATAAACTAAACAGTGATTAACCCCGAGAAAGAGGGATTAGGTAAAGAAAAAGATGGATTTTTCACTTCTTTATAAATTTGTGTATTGCTTTCATTTTTAGAGGGAATATATTTATGTAACTAAGAGTATTTAATTTGTTAAAAGGGATCCTAGTAGTTCAATTCTAATAATTTGATTTTTGTAGGTATTATAAATTACAATAAAAAAAGAACATTTCCTGAGAAACTTTCTTAAAAAGGAAGGCAAGACAGTAGGTGAATATTACCATAAGGTATGCATATAATCAAAATGTCTAAGCAAATAACTAGGTAAATGGTTTGAAAGATTTTAAGAGCTAGTTCTATGGAAATAGTAGGGCTACTCTAAACTTGGCAAAAGTTTAACAGTACAAGATGAAAAGTTAAAATTCTAGATCCTTGAGGAATTGCCATACTGTTTTCCATAATGGTTGAACTAGTTTACAATCCCACCAACAGTGTAAAAGTGTTCCTATTTCTCCACATCCTCTCCAGCACCTGTTGTTTCCTGACTTTTTAATGATTGCCATTCTAACTGGTATGAGATGGTATCTCATTGTGGTTTTGATTTGCATTTCTCTGATGGCCAGTGATGATGAGCATTTTTTCATGTGTCTGTTGGCTGTATGAATGTCTTCTTTTGAGAAATGTCTGTACCATATGACCCAGCCATCCCATTACTGGGTATACACCCAAAGGATTATAAATCATGCTGCTATAAAGACACATGCACACGTATGTTTATTGTGGCACTATTCACAATAGCAAAGACTTGGAATCAACCCAAATGTCCATCAGTGACAGACTGGATTAAGAAAATGTGGCACATATACACCATGGAATACTATGCAGCCATAAAAAAGGATGAGTTTGTGTCCTTTGTAGGGACATGGATGCAGCTGGAAACCATCATTCTTAGCAAACTATCACAAGAACAGAAAACTAAACACCGCATGTTCTCACTCATAGGTGGGAACTGAACAATGAGATCACTTGGACTTGGGAAGGGGAACATCACACACCAGGGCCTATCATGGGGAGGGGGGAAGGGGGAGGGATTGCATTGGGAGTTATTCCTCATGTAAATGACGAGTTGATGGGTGCTGACGAGTTGATGGGTGCAGAACACCAACATGGCACAAGTATACATATGTAACAAAACCTGCACGTTATGCACATGTACCCTAGAACTTAAAGTATAATAATAATAATAATAATAAATACAATAGGATCTTATATGTGTCTACCTACAAGGCTTTGTTTCTCTTTACTATAATATGCTGGAAATCATGGCAATAGCCAAACTAATTTCAACCATAAAATGTTCTAACCTGAGCAGTTAAAGAGGAAGGCCCCATCATTCAATGTCAATTCAGCCATATCTTGATTCTATAAATATATTTAGTTACGTTCACTTTTCCATGAGATTGATGTTACAATAAAATTGATATGAAGAAAAAAATTATTTAGATTGCTTAAAAAAAAAAAAAAAGAAAAGTTAAAATTAAAAATGGTTACCTAAAGAAAATGCTTGGAGAGAAAAGTACAAAAATAGTGGTAGCAAAAGCAATGGAACAGAGTAGCACGGGCTCTCAAATGCTCTACACAGAAGGTGAGATAACTTCAATAGCTTCCATTCAAATCTCTGGCCAACCCATTCTACTAGCACAATGATCAGTTCTAGGTGACATATCTGGTAAGGGACTAAGACAAACGTAAGCTTGCTTTTTACATACAAATAGCTCCCAATTGAGGGACTGACAGAACTAAGACCAAAGGATATAAATTTCAAGAGGGTAAACCTTGCATTTGAAATCAAAGGTATCAAATTCTCTGCCACTAACAGTACCAAGAATTGAATGAAGCTTTCTTGGATTAAATGTAGAACTGTGTATGACAATTTTTTAATGTGCATATGAGTCACCTGGAGATCTTAAAAACAAAATGCAGTTTCTGATTATATCTGGGATGAAGACTAAGATTCTTCATTTCTAACAAGACTGGCAGCTAGAAGACACTAATAGCGACAGACCATACTTAGAACAACAAAAATGTAGAAAAGTTATAAACATATAATATTCTATGGTTCTATAACCTTTCTAACTCTCAATTCCTATTATAATATATACATAACATTTGTCGAAAGAATTCAGTTAATTATATGATTATAACCTAATCATCCTAAAGTGGGAGTGGGGGAGATGTAATAGATCGTCTTGATCAAACCATTCAACTTGTGACACATGCACTTTTCTAACTGGTACCCAAGAAAAAAATGGTTCCAGGGGGAGGAAGATTCCTTTGGTTAAATAAACTTAAAATATGTTAGATATAATCTCTAGAAGATTCTAAATGCATAGCAGCATTAAAACGTCACAGGAGTCTTGCAGGGAGAAAACATGAATTAATTTATCCCTCCTTCTCTGTAATATTCATGTTAAATAGAACTCATTTTGGGGAATTATTATATTATATTGTCTCTCATACCATTCACCCCCAAAATATATAATAAATTCTAATAATATGTCTTCTCAGGCAATGATCATTCCCAACTCTTAGCTTTAATTGTTTATCCCTAAAGTAGAATGTTTTTCCTCTTCCCTCCTCAAAGCTACCCAACTCATACTTATTCCCTAAGGCCCCGTTTAAATCTTCGTATTTTCCACAAAGCCTTCACTGATTACTCTGGCCTTTAGTAATCACCTTTCCCTCTCCATATTCTAATAGTGGTAGTTTTCATACTTTAAATTAAATAAATAAGGTAAAGAAAATGTTTCTATAAATAAAGTTAGAGTTGAGTGGTTTCATGGAGCACAGTTTGAATACCACTTCCCTTCAACATCCTCTCACCTTTTTGAATAATTTTTAATTTAAATATGAATTTAAATACGCACCATCTTACACAATGTGAATATACCTAACACTGCAGAACTATACCCTTAAAAATGGTTAAGACAGTAAATTTTGTTGTGTTTTTTACAATTAAAAAAAAATACACCATCTTGTATTGTTTGTTATTTTTTCATGTGTTTGAATATGCTGAAGGCAAAGAGTATGTCGTATTTCTTTCCACACCACTAAGCAGGCACTGGGCACAAAACAACTTATTCACTGACTCACTGATTATAGCTTAATACAAATCGGCCTGGGTTCACAGAACCATTTACAATTACTCAAACTTCAACAAGATTCAAAAAATGTATGTTACCTTTACCTCAATATAAATATGTACTCCCCAAACTCAATGCATAACAACTCATGAATTTGCTGGGCTACTAGGGTATAAAAAGGAGCACTATCTCCCTCTTGTGTCTTTCAGTCATCCACTATCTACTCATTCACACTGGCCATTCAAAGATTTATTGAGTGATTACTATATATCAGGTATTGTATTAACTGTATGATGCACAATCTCTACTCTCATACATAATAAACATATGTACATATGACAATAAATCTCTCTCTTTGTCTCTACCGGTAGTATTTTAGCTCAAAAATTGCCTACGGGAGATAAAAAAACCAAGAGGTCCTAATAGCTTCGAAACTATTTTATCTTGCTTCCACCCTTAAGCTAAACTACTTCTGTTGACTTCTTGCCTTTCAAAAACAAATCAGCAAAGCTCCAAAAGCCACCACAGCATGGATCCAATACTTGTAGTAGGGTCTTCTATATCACTTCTACATTTTAACATAAAACAAAAACAAAAACATAAAACGCGGTGGCTCCTGCCTGTAATCCCAGCACTCTGGGAGGCCAAAGCACACGGATCACTTGACGTCAGGACGGCAAGACCAGCCTGGGCAACACCATGAAACCTTGTCTCCGTCAAAAAATACAAAAATTAGCCAGGTGTGGTGACACATGCCTGTAGCACCCAGCTACTCAGGAGGCCGAAGCAGGAGAATCCCTTGAACCCAGGAGGCGGAGGTTGCAATGAGTCAAGATCGTGCCACCGCACTCCAGCCTGGGCGACAGAGTGAGACTCCGTCTCAAAAAAAAAAAATTAGACTTTCTGACCAAAAATCTGACACCCATTCACTTTTATTCCTGTATAAGCACAGAGAATTAGTCATACTTCTAATTAAAGAAAAATAATCTACCATGTAGCAGACTCATATAAATGACGACATCTACCCGAAAGGTAGTACTTTTTAAAGCCCCATAATATCTACAAAATCAAGTTAAAATATATTAAAACTTGACAGAAAGTCTGAGTTATTAAATTTAATTAAGCTAAATTCAAACACTAAAACCAAAGTTATTTTTTCTTAGACAACACAACAAAGCTTTTAGTTGAAACTTGACTAGTCTTACACAAAATACTCTCCAGAGGCTACCCTTAAACGGGCCTGAAATTACCATAATAACAGTAACATTACTGTTATTATATTGTCTTGATAATAACAATAAAGCACTTATCTCATCTGACCCTAAAAAACCTTAGTGAGGTAAAATATTCAGGGAGATTAAATGATATAACTCAAGGTGGCCTAGATGGTAAGTGGCAAAGCCAGAACCTTATTAAGATGTTCTAATTCTAAAATCCACATGGTCTTTCTGCACCATCTGGAGGTCCTACTGGCAGCTGCTAAATTCTCTTGGACATAATTCCATACCAACCTGGATTGTGCCATATTTACCCAACAAGGAATGGTGTTACAATCAGATTATTTTGTTTTTAATATATTCTTTCTGCAATAAAAATAACTATAGTAAGATTATTCCTTTACTTGGTAGATTCCTGTGATTCTGTAATTACTTAGCCATCAATTTATGTATAAAATCAATGTATCCTCCCCCAACACAAACACACTGAAACA